GTCTCAATAGAGAAGAAAATAAAACATTATGTACAATGAAAATTTTAAAGTTGTTTGGGTTTTTTTTTTTAATCCAGGTGGGGGTAGTGGATTTGTTTTCATTTCAGCAAGAACTCTGATCTAGAATTAGAGTACTATTAAAGTTTTTTGCTTTGATATGTGACAGCGTTTAACGAAAAAATCTTTTTTTTTTCCCCTCTATTTTATGTTTCCACTGAAAATAAGGAACCCATTAGGATTTCTTTTTACCTTTCCTTACATAAATCTTATAAGACATGCTATATCAAGGAAAGAATCGTAGTCTAGTGACACATCAAAAATATAATGCCCATATTTCTTTTTTACATTATTATCATTAAGGAAGCAAAATAATGTTGATTTTGGCTATTTAGGGAACCCTGTTAATCAGAACTACTAGCAGAAATCAGATTTGAACTGGCAAAAGAATACAGACATTAATAAATGGATCAGCCCTAAGGTATGAAATGAAAGAATGAAACTAGTATTAAAATAATGAAACGCATCAGTTTCCTCATAATTCAATGTAAGGTCAATAGCATAAACATACTACCTCTTGCTTGTCCATTTGTGCTATTCGAGTGAAAAGATCTTCACAAAGTCTTGGAATTATTCCTCGGTCTTCATCAAATCCCATCATCCTGTAGTTACACAAAAACCTGCTAGTTCAGTTTTGTAACTCTCTATAGCTGGTTTTAGTATTAATTGTATAGCTCTAAAGTGGAAATGCCATCTGTTCCTAAGTTATAGACATAATAACCAACAGAAATAAACCTGATCTAAATTGTTGCTTGTTTGCACAGGGAGTTAGACAAGCTGATGTCCACAGGTCACAAAAGCACAATATACTTTAAAACATGTCACTTCACACACAAAATAACAAACAGCAGTGAACAGCATAGGGGGAGTCTGAGAAGCATTAATAAAGGTTTTTCTTCACTAAGATCTCTTGAAAGACCTTTTCTTTTCCTCACTAGATGTAGAAAGAGGTCAGCTGTCAAATATGTAAAAATATTCTACACCTGTCTCAATTATTATAAATATTGTTTTAATTCTTTTTATTTATTTTTTTTAATAGGCAAAACCACTTTAACACAATTCAGTAATTATGAAATCTATTCCCTATAATCTATTTTCAAGACTACATTGCATAACAATCAACTACTACAGAATTTTAACAATTAAGAACTTACGTGTATGATTTTCCAGAACCAGTCTGTCCATAAGCAAAAAGACAAGTGTTATATCCCTCAAAAGCTCTTTCTAGGAGTGGCAATGCCAAAGTTTTGTAAATCATTGCTTGGCTTGCAAAATTAGGGTGACACTTGTCAAAAGACCAGAAAGAAAAGTCATAACTGAAGGTGTAAACTTGGTTTGTGGCTGCTTTTCGTACAGCTGTCTCGGAACCATTCATTGAGACTACAGGGAGTGAGTTTTCATTTTTCTCTCTGAATGGAAGGGTGAAAAAAATAAAAAAATTAAAAACTTAAGTTATATGCTTTAAGTTAGTCATTTCAATCAAGAGCCTTACAGAAAATAAAAAGTTTGGTAATCATTCTTAAAAGTGTTAGGTGAACATACAAAGTAGTCAAGTTTAAAATACTTCAGCTAATGAATATGCAAAAAAAATAGTCCCAAATACCTATAAAGTGAATTCAATCTCTTAATAAGATCTTTATCTTGATGTTGCACGAAATATCAGCTAATTTAATAAGTATGTATTATATCCTTACTGAGTTAATGACTAAACAAGTCAAAAAATACAAAGCAGGAATCAACACACATTATAAAAGCTACTATTAGCATAAAAAATAAGTCCAGGATACAAACCTGTTATTGAAAGGCCGTACACGCACAGCTACAGTCACTTTGCTGTTTTCCACTATGAAAACATCTTTCTTGGTGCTGGTGCTCTCAGCTAGAGCTTCTGTGTTCTCTTTTGGTTTTGAACTTCTACTCACAGAAGGAGAGCTGGAGACACTAGTTTTCTTCTTGGCTAGAATTTGAAGACGAGGTGTTTGTGTATTTGAAGCAGAGAGAGATGGCTGATCCTGAGAAGTGCAGTTCTTTGGTGTAAGCTTAAACCCTTCTGTTGAACCTTTCATTGGTGTCCTTGTTTTTTCCCAACTGTTATGTTTTATAATCAAGTGTTGCAACTTTTTCTTTCCATCTTGCTTATTTATATCGCCTCTTTCATTCAGTTGTTCTCCTGATATCCTATTAATATATTTCGAGGTAACTAGTTGTTCTGATTTAGGAACTTCATTTCGAAATTTTGTGTCAGCAGTGCTTGTCCTACATTGTGAACGCACGCAGCTCTCATTTTCACACAGACCATCAGCAAAGCTAAAGGAATTCTTACTGTTCAGGTTATGCTGTAACTTCATACTTGACTGACCTTCAGCTAATTTAAAGCTTGGTTTAACATCACAGGTATCATTAATATTTGGTGGAAGTGCAATCTTGTCATTTCTTTGTGTGGCAAAATTGTTATTTTCTATTCCAGGCACAATATTGTGATTAATTTTACTCTTCTCTACAGAGCCAGTCCTCACACGCCTCTGCAGAGTAAGTTTTTTCTCTGTTTGTGTAATTTCTGTGCCCTGTGTTGTGTCTGTATGCAACTGTTCACTACTGGACAACAATCTTTTGCTCACTCCAGTTCTCCTCTGGAGTGTTAATCTGCCTTCGAGTTTAAGTGCAGTTGATGTGTCACTCACTTTTGTACAGGCTGAAATCACGTAGGTCCTGTTTACTTCCTCAGTCTTATTCTGAGAATGTGAAAGTAAACTATCCTTTTCTTCTCTTGACATCCGTGATTTCAATTGCTGCCCAGACGCTTTGCTGCTGGTAAAAGTATTCTGTGAAGAACTCTTCTGCAAAGGGGTAGTACACCGTGCTTCAGAGAGACTTCTCGCAGGAACCGTGTAAATAGGCATTTTATCTTCCAGCAAGCTAACATTAGGTTTGTAATAGGTACAACACCTTTACTAAAAGATTATTTCTAGTTGCTTCTTCCTATGGAATCTGGGGAGATAAAGGAAAAGTTTTTTATGATGCTCATGTCCAGTGGGAGTTATGTTCTGGTGCATGGGCAGCTCTTCACATGCACTGCAGTAAATATACATCCTGACACATTAATAGCAATTAGTACCCCCTTTCACCTCCAGCACTTTAAAAAAAAAAAGTCATTCTTCTGTAGGTGAATGACTGCTTCTGCCAATAGTAGGCTATTTGATTTCATTTATTGAGTTCTGTGATTTTTTTTCAGAAAATAAACCAAACATCACAAATAAACACCAGTTGGTACAAAGAATCATCTAATTATTTACCAACAAATATCAGCATGTACATTTCTTCCAAATGATCTACCATGATCCCCAAAGAAAGGGAATTCAAGATCATACCTCCATTCACTGACAACTGTTTATGCTTGTAGTGTTTCAAAATCAACAGATTCCAATATAACAGCAAAATTAGTAACAAGGAATCGGAAATATGTGAACACAGAAAGCAGGTTGTTTTTTTCAGGATTTTGATAAAAAAAGCCAGTATCACAATAGGACAGTTAATAGAGATGACTATTACATTTGGACATTATCTTAGTTCACTATAGTACATACATGCATAGCAAAACAAAAAAATACTTAGCCTAGGTGACAGAAGGAAAACTGTAAAATGCATTCCACATCCATTGTACATGTAAATATTTAGATAGCAATATATAACCAATCTGTACAGAAAAGTATGCTTTCACCGTTGCATATTCATCATAGTTATCACCTTGTTACAGCTTCAACATCACTACCCACTACAGACGTGACAGCTGCAATTAATTAGCTACTAAAGTCAACAGGAAGTCACCTGTCTTAGATCCTTCAAAAATTGCATACATTGTTAACAAAAAGCAGCAGTGTCAGGGAAAAAAAGGAAAGCAAGATGACAGCGAGTGATGTAGAAGCAACCATTCAACCATTGCTCCAACAAGAAGTTTATTTTAATACTACACTTTTAAATTATTGCTCTTGGAGTACTCTCAGAATTTATGTGATTACATCCACTTCTACATGTGTCGTGACTGCACCAAGTTTCCACAGCTCAAGAGTTGCAAGGAGAGTTTCAAGAATTTCAAACCACAATATATTCATTGTTCAATCCATTTTGGTACAGGAAACTACTTATGTTACATGAGTTGTAAAATACACATTTTGTGGTTCCATCTAGCAGTCAGTAAATAAAGAAACATGATTGTAAGCCATGAATTGCTTTAGCTTTTCTGAAAAACTCCACCCTTCCTGTATAGCTTTAAAATGACTAGTATAAGAAGGGAAGTTCTCCCCTCCTGTTGCTATAGTTGTGCCTTGCAAATATTCACGACGTTTTTCCGTAGAAGAAAATTTATCTCCCCATTGAAAGCACCTTCATTCCAAAATGAGGTTCAATATTTGTTAAAAGTACGCTTCTTCATAATTACTAATTGATTACAAGTACTAATTAGAGATGACAAGCAAGCGCTCAAAGCCGGGTGAGAGCATAGGAGAAACGGTTACCTTTACTATCTTTCAGCAAACCCACCCTCTTCAGGCGAAACTCTACAAGACCCTCGGCACCGCCACAGATCTATTTTACCACTGCCCCGCTGAAGGCGCCCCTCAGCCCCGCCGGGGGGGCCTAGCGAGGCGACGGCCGACCGAGTCTGAGGGGACTCCGCCGGGCAACGTCCTCCATCCCGCTGGGCAGCGCCCTCCACCCCACGCTCCCCACCAAGCTCCGCGGCTCCCGAAACAACGGCCCGCCATCCCACGGGATAGCCCCAGGGACACCCACCCCGGGCCGGGCGTTCCATCCCTCACCTCACCTCAGGGTGGCCCCTCCTCACCCGCCGCTCGAGACGCCGCTCGCGACGCCGCTCGCGACACCGCTCGCGCCTCCTCCCTGCCCGGTTTGAATGCGCCCGGGCCCGCGCGGATTGGCTCCCAGCAGCAGCCACAAGGGGGCGGGGCCGGGAGCCCGTGGTGGTCGGTTGCCCCTGGAACGGGCGGCACGGCCCCGCCCCAGCCGGCGGGTGGCGGGCACGGGCAGCGAGCGAGCTGCAGGCCGAGGGCGGGGCTGTGCCGGCTCACCTGTCAGAAACGCGGGGATGGCTGGAAAGTTTGGAGGGTGCGGGATGAGGAAGGCCATCGAGCACCGCTTCCTGCCATCTCCGCAAGAAACACACAAGCTGGCCGCTTGCTGAAGGAGAAATACGTTTTATAAAAGATCTGGCATTTATGACATACCGCACGACTGAGTTAATGGGAAAAAGCTTAAAAAAATTCCAGCAGAGGGAGACAAAAGCCAGAGCACGGGGGAGGGCTGGGGGGGTGCTAAAAACCCGAGTTTTTCCCCATGTGAGATTATGTTGAAGTAGTAGCAACAGTGCACATAAAATAGTAGAAATCATAATAAACATCGTATTTCAGCTTATCAGAATTCATAGTAGGAGTTTGTCATTAATAACTATATAAATCTGTTACTGTTCAGGAACCCCTGTCACCAGCGCCACGCTTAGGTCACCTGCCCTGGGGCAGGTAAGGCCTGCTCTTTTTTGTTCTAGTTGGGGAAAGCTTTTAAGAACTAATTAAGTTCACTACCCGAGTCAGTCTACCATATTGCTGTCCTTTGGCCAAAGAACAGACATACAGTGCACGTGTGACATGACCCGGGACATCTCAGCCTGCCAAAAAGGGATGATGCATCATCACAGCAGCATGAAAGGTCTGATGATGAAACTTAATTTCTCAAGCCTCAGTCTAGGAAAAAAAAAATAATATATTGGTTATGACCTCTCTCAGACTTTGGATGGTAAACTGTACAACACTATCTTAATACAGTTTTGGTCTCATTTCCTGAAAAAAAATGACACACTATCTGCTGTCAGAGCATGTCAAGTTATGCATAAATGAGTGGTAAATATGACCAGTTAGACATTAACTATAATGTTTCATTAAATAAGAACACAAATTTCTTATTTAGCTTACATGGTTTATCCTATTTCTTCACAATGAAGCTGTATTAATACTAGTATTTCTGCTAATGCAAAGTGCTTGAGCAGGACTTTTAATTGGTCCACAGGCAATACAGGAGAAACTGAACTCTCAGTACTGTTTGCAAACAAAACTTGCATATACAAGTGCACAAGAATCCCCCAGAGAGGACACTGAGGATTCCTGGAAACATTCCCTGTGGAAGCTCTTACATAAACAGGAAAATACTGAGGCTTGTTTTCAGAGACTTATCTGCCACCCAGCAGGACTTCTAATTGGTCCACGGGCAATACAGGAGAAACTGAACTCTCATTACTGTTTGCAAACAAAACTTGCATATACAAGTTCACTAGAGTACTGAGGCTTGTTTTCAGAGACTTATCTGCCACCAATATTTTTTAAGGGGTGAGGGTGTCCTTTGCAGAGATCTAATCTCAAGATAATGGCATAAAGATCACCAGGAGGGTGTGTATCACGAGAAGTGTGAAATGATCATTCAGAAATATTAAAACAAGCACAAGAATCCCCCAGAGAGGACACTGAGGATTCCTGGAAACATTCCCTGTGGAAGCTCTTACATAAACAGGAAAATACTGAGGCTTGTTTTCAGAGACTTAACTGCCACCAATATTTTTTAAGGGGTGAGGGTGTCCTTTGCAGAGATCTAATCTCAAGATAATGGCATAAAGATCACCAGGAGGGTGTGTATCACGAGAAGTGTGAAATGATTGAGGCTTGTTTTCAGAGACTAATCTGCCACCAATATTTTTTTTAGGGGTGAGGGTGTCCTTTGCAGAGATCTAATCTCAAGATAATGGCATAAAGATCACCAGGAGGGTGTGTATCACGAGAAGTCTGAAATGATCATTCAGAAATATTAAAACAAAATAAAGAGTATCTTCTCAGTTTATGTTGCGAGACCAAAGACTACTGGTTCTGAAAAAGGGTTACATAGAGTGTTATGACTAGGCACTACTGTAATTCAAACACAAAATAGTCTGTATTTCAAAATAAAGAGGAGATAAAAATGAGACTCTTTAAAAAACTGAACACAGAAACTTCTTTGAAAAAGGCAATATACAAGACATCATAATTCCATAGGGGTTTTTAATCACACTTTCATTATAATTACAGAAGACAATTGTAAATATATCTTTATTACCTCTGAGAATTATTTTTGTCATGTTTTCTAATAACGTCCATAATATTATCTCCTGTTACAAGGCTATTCTGTAATTGTTTAAGTCTCTGTTGTTCCCTTCTCTTTTGGTCATGAAGATATGGGGAATTAAGCAGCTGTGGGGGAAGAATGGTGCCCGTCGGTTCTACTCTCTTCACAACATCCCAAAAAAGCTTCTTGCTGTTGTTATTGATAAAAGTAATAGCAGTTCCACTGTGACCCAACCTTCCTGCTCGTCCAACCTAAAAAAGCAAAAACTCATTTTAAGTTATCAATATTAAATGGAAATCCTTCAAATATCCTTAAAGTTTATTTTCTGTAATAAAACAGCAGCTAACCAAAGGGACGAGGCCAAATCTCTTTATCTCATTCTGTAAGCACAAAGTTATAATCAACTTCCTGAATTTAGGATATGCAGATTTGAAGCTTTAGCTTAAATGCAATCTAAAATTACTACTGGCTTATGGTACATACCAAAAGTCCAATACTGATACTGAGATATATGATACAGCCTATGGGCAAAGGCTTATAGTAAATCTGGTCCCAACAAAATGTTTTTTAAAATGTTTATTACAGCAATGCCGTTATCTTGTATCAAGCACAATATGTACACACATCATTATAAAAAAAGCCCCTTCTCTGCAATGTTCTAGTAACATAAAATTATTTCTCAATATTATCCAATGTGCTTGAACAAATTAGGAAAGAATATACAAAGCCGCTCTATTTAGGAAGAGATAGTATATTAATACTAATAGTTTTGATGCTACGAAAGACCATTTTTATCTATTTACTATTTGCTTGAAACTTTAGCAGAAAAATAATTAAAAACCAGAGAGGTGTACTGCAGTTGGTAACACAGATTACTTTGGGAGTTCACGAGAATGGATGACTTCCAGAGGTCCTTCCCACCAGGTGAGAGCAGGGTTAACTTCAAAGACCACTTCGCCCAGACCCTTGTCCTGTGGAGTTTCAAGTGCCTCCAAGCACAAAAGCCTCACCACCTTTCTGGGCAGCCCGTTCCACTGTCCAGCTACTCTCACTGTGAAAAGTATTTTTGCCTGTTATCAGGTCAGAACTCCCCTTGCAGCAAATTTTGACCGTTGGCTCTCGTCCTTTCATTGTGCATCTCCAAGAAGAGTCTGGCTCTGTCCCCCCTATAACTGCCCATTACCAAACAGAAGCCAGCAATTAAATCTCTACTCCAGATCAAACAAGCCCAGTTCCCTCTGCCTCTCTTCATGTGTCACATGAGCCAGCCCCCTGACTTTGTCTGAACTCTCTGCAGTTTGTTGGCCTTTCTCGTAGCAATGATCTCAAAACCGGACACAGCAGTAGAGTACTGTGGCTTCACAAGTGCCAAAAAGGCTAATTACTAGTTCTCTTGATCTGGTAGCCAAACTAGGGTTGGGGGGCATGTACAAATACATAAATGCACATACACATGCAACCCACACACCATCTTTTTTAATGTCAGAAATCCTCAAGAATAAAAAATATTAAAACAATCAGAGGAGATACTATTCTCAATATTATCTAATGTGCTTGAACAAATTAGGAAAGAATATACAAAGCCGCTCTATTTAGGAAGAGATAGTATATTAATACTAACAGTTTTGATGCTATGAAAGACTATTTTTATCTATTTACTACTTGCTTGAAACTTTAGCAGAAAAATAATTAAAAACCAGAGAGGTGTACTGCAGTTGGTAACACAGATTACTTCGGGAGTTCATGAGAATGGATGACTTCCAGAGGTCCTTCCCACCAGGTGAGAGCAGGGCTAACTTCAAAGACCACTTCACCCAGACCCTTGTCCTGTGGAGTCTCAAGTGCCTCCAAGCACAAAAGCCTCACCACCTTTCTGGGCAGCCCGTTCCACTGTCCAGTTACTCTCACTGTGAAAAGTATTTTTGCCTGTTATCAGGTCAGAACTCCCCTTGCAGCAAATTGTGACTGTTGGCTCTCGTCCTTTCATTGTGCATCTCCAAGAAGAGTCTGGCTCTGTCCCCCCTATAACTGCCCATTACCAAACAGAAGCCAATTAAATCTCTACTCCAGATCAAACAAGCCCAGTTCCCTCTGCCTCTCTTCATGTGTCACATGAGCCAGCCCCCTGACTGTGTCTGAACTCTCCGCAGTTTGTTGGCCTTTCTTGTAGCGATGATCTCAAAACTGGACACAGCAGTAGAGTACTGTGCCTTCACAAGTGCCAAAAAGGCTAATTACTAGTTCTCTTGATCTGGTAGCCAAACTAGGGTTGGGGGGCATGTACACATACATAAATGCACATACACATGCAACACACCATCTTTTTTAATGTCAGAAATCCTCAGGAATAAAAAACATATTAAAAAAATCAGAGAAGATACTGCAGTAAGGCGAGTGCAATGAAAGGAAGAGAGGCATTCGGCCTTTCTTCACACAGATAGTAAAAACATGGTAAACTTTCTATAGACACAAAATAATACAAGACAGTACAAAACAGGAATAATAATACTGCAAACTAGTAAAATAAAAACACTGGTTTAGATTTTTAGTAATTTATGGAAGAGATCTTCAGTACCTACCTTCTTTTCCTATAAAAAACATTATTCTGAAGAGGAAAATAATCTTTATATTTACATTTAAATTTAAATGTCCATAACTGGATGTCATATTTCAGTATACTTTTCAAATAATGCTTAAGCATTTTATTTCTTTACCTGATGTACATATTCATCCATACTTGAAGGCATATCGAAATTTACTACCAGTTTGACATTGACGAGGTCAAGGCCTCGTCCAAGGACTCCAGTACTTACTATAACTTCATACTTCTCTTGAAGTAATCCCTGGTAAGGGAGAAATAAATAAAAAAGGTTAGGGTTAGTTATACAGTGTAAAAACACACCCAGTGGGATTTTTCTATTACAGAAGAGAGAATGGTCCCCCTTGATTTAAATAGGAATATAATTCACAGAGCTAATTAAGGAGAGCTCAAAGCCACAATTTTAACATTAAAAAACCCCTCAATTAAAGTTAAATGCATACTTAAATTCCTATTTCAAAGCAAATAATCTAGGAAATAGTCGCCAGTATTTATCTGCATTTAAAATGGATTATCTACAGTTTTGCTTGGTCCCATCTGTCTCTCCTCTTCCCCGGCACTACTCCAGGTTTTACTGCACAGAAGCAGTAAATTATGACTTAACTCATTCATATTAAGCCACCTTTGAAAAAAAAATTGGCCATTTAAAATCTATCAAAATGCCCATAACTTTAGGAGACACAAACCTGTAATATGTCTGTTCTTTCCACCTGAGACTTTGAAAAAAAATTGGCTATTTTAAATCTATCAAAATGCCCATAACTTTAGGAGACACAAACCTGTAATATGTCTGTTCTTTCCACCTGAGACTTTTCAGAATGCATAGCTGTACATTGCAATCCTGTAATCTTATGAACAGCATCACTCAAGAGATCTGCTCCTAGCTTACAGTCCACAAATACCAACACTGGAGGCTTGAAGAGTTTCTTATCCTGCAAAATTAAACAGTTTATGTAAGGAGGTATTATAACAGTTTGCTGCTCATCAGCAGCATCTTGGGATCCAATTTCTTCTGCTCGTTATCTCTTAAAATTAACAACACTTTCAGATGACTAAATGTTCAAGATAAGAAGGAATAAGATACCATGGAACAAGGAAGGAACAAGCCAGAAAACTACACCAATCTGTACATCATAAATATATAATGATTTGTAGACTCAGAACCCAAGTTTATATCAATACATGCATTTTTTAGAAGTCAGAAGCTTTCTGTTTCCTTAAATGTTACAAAATAATTCTGGATTTCTTTAAATTCTGAGGTTCAGTTAAAGATTCTTATTTACTTCTTGGATAAGCTCAGACAATGCTCCAAAATTCGCCCCCAAAGTACTCATAAAAGATATATACTATTATTCGTATAAAGAAAAACAAAGAAAAATCTAAATTTGCTTTCTCACCAGTTGCTTTAATGACTTTTAAAATGACAAACCGCTCCCAGGCCATAAAGCAGCTATAGAAGTTTAAGATGACAGTCCTGTTCCTTTACCACTGATAACCAGTACAAATCTTTGGGATTCTATACTGCAGATTACAAAAAAAAAATCAAAATTGCAATTTTTAATTTGGATCCCAACACAGAAATCTAGTTTGCTGCTGCACAGAAGGAAGTGTGAGTGATCGGGATGGAGTAGTCCCTGAAACTCCCCTTAAAGCTCCTACAGTGCAGAACTACAGAACTAGTTAGTGCAGTTATATGCTTAACCTCGCTCCACCTCTTTACTATGTACAGATTAGAATTAAAGATGAGAACCTGACAGGGATGTGTAAAGACACAACACAGAAATCTAGTTTGCTGCTGCACAGGAGGAGGTATGAGTGATCGGGATGGAGTAGTCCCTGAAACTCCCCTTAAAGCTCCTACAGTGCAGAACTACAGAACTAGTTAGTGCAGTTATATGCTTAACCTCACTCCACCTCTTTACTACATACAGATTAGAATTAACGATGAGAACCTGACAGGGATGTGTAAAGACATGAATAATTTTATAAATTGTTCTTATGAGAAAAATATTACACTTACATTAAGTATTTCAAAGAGCTTTTTCTTTTTAGATGGTTCTTCTACCCACAAGATAATTTGGCGAACATTGGAACACGGCAGATTCTTCTCTCCAATTGTTATTCTTACAAAATTGTGCAGAAGCTGATTTGCAAAATGTTCGATGCCCACTGGAATCGTGGCTGATACCAGTATGGTCTGATGATCATGAGACACATCTTCTAAAATATCCAACACTTGCTGCTGGAAACCCATTTTTAACATGGTATCCACCTAAGAGAAAAGTATTAGATTTGTACCATATTTTTCCATAAACAGGAGACTCCTGAATTCGAATTGCCAGAAGAACTATAGTATGTATGACTGGCATGTAATCCAAATGCAGGAGTATTTTCAGTCACGATGAAAGCTAAGTGAGAAAATTACAAAAAAATGGTTCACACTGGTCTAGCAGTATTATGATGACTAAGTGAGAAAATTAAAAACAAATGGTTCACACTGGTCTAGCAGTATTATCCCATTAGGTATCTAAGTCTTTCATAGCCAGTAGAACACACACTGTTCAAACACATTTCAAATCGTGTTAAAAAAAAAAAAAAAATATTTTTCTTACATTGTTCAAACACATTTCAAATTGTGTTAAAAAAAAAAGATTTTTTTTCTCTTAAGAAATACATTGTATCAATATAATGAACAGTCTGTATGTTTAATCAGTTTGACTCTGGCTCTTCACTCTTAAGAAATACATTTTATCATTATAATGAACACTCTATGTTTAATCAGTTTGACTCTGGCTCTTCAAGGACCTCTCTGTATAGGCAATACAGCCCCAATAAATACTTACTTCATCCACCACTACAATTTTTATGCCACGTAGTTGAACAGAACTTTGCTTTAAAATCTCAAGAAGTCTTCCAGGTGTTGCTATTATAACCTAACAAAAGAAACACACAAACAAACAAAACAGAAGTTAGAAATTCCATGAAAGGACAGATGACTTCGAGAAAAACTGTAAAGTTAACAGCACATGCGTGAGAAGGGCACTAATTAGTGAGATTACTTAAGTTCAAATAAATCTTAAAACTTTTATAGATAACTTAAAAAATTATGAAGCCTCCAAAGGAAATGGACTTTTTAGAACTCTAATGGAATTAGAGTTATTGTCTTAATACAAGCAATGCAATCTGCATTAAAAACAAACTATTATTCCTGTAAATTGCAATTCCTTGTCTAATAAAACGGCATATTTCAGTCTTGAAAGCAGCAATATTATGCAAGAAAATTTTTCAAAACAAAAAAAAAAAAGCTATTATGTTTAATCAGATATCAAAATGTAAAAAAAAAAAAAAACCAAAGAACATATTACCATAAAATTTTCAATAGCTAACAATTACTTTACCAAAAAACATATTACAATAAAATTTTCAATAGCTAACAATTACTTTAGCAGTTTAGACTTAGGAAAAACATATCTTTGTGTGTCATGTCAACAGTAACATTTTTATTTTCTGTGAATGTCATGAAAACATAACTCTCCACAGGATCTTTCTATGCTATAGTCCTTACCTTAACACTTTGCTTGAGCCGGTGAAGCTGTGGTGGCAGCGGTAAACCTCCTACCAGGAGAACTGTTCTCATGTTTGGTAAACCAGCCATCAGTTCTTTAGCTTGTCTCTCTATCTGAATTGCTAACTCCCGTGTTGGTGCCAAAATAAGGGCAGATGGAGTTTCTGTCTGAAAAGAGGGGAAGAAATCTGTTGAACATGGAACCGCTTTATTATTTAGATTAAAGCTTTCTATCTAAGAGAGGCTCCAATTATGTGCATGTTATTATAAGCACATAACTGTCTTGCAAACTTTAATGATAATCAGAGAGGAGCTACTGAAGTGTAATACTCCTGTTCTTAAATGCTCCGATATAATGCTTCCACTGTTAAACCTAATGCTATAGTACTTTAGAAATTAAAAGAGGTACTTAAACTTTGTTTAGTTGAAAAACAATTATATACACACACCTGTGTGTATATATTTAAAAATTGTTTAGTTGAAAAACAATTATATATACACACACCTGTGTGTATATATTTAAAGGCATCTAAATAGTCCAAAACATCAACTAGAATCAGGTCCAGAATTTTCAAATATATTCTTACAGTCTTTTTGAATAAAATCATTAAAGCAAAAAAACACTACTGAAGCACACACAAGGTACAGAATACTATTTGCCATTACTTCCCATCATACATTGATACCCGTACCAAAGCAAAAGTTTTCTTAATTGCTTTTTCCCCCAGTATCAAAGAGAAGACGGTATAACTGAGTATTTCAGAAATTATATAACCCCAAAATCCTGTAGCTATTTGATGGTCAGCTGAACATATTCCAACAGAATTTATGCTGTGAAATTATGCAAATGCCAAGAAATCTCCTTCAGCCATCTGAAGGAGATATCAAGATATATATCATATCAAGACATAGGAACAACTACTTGCAGAGCGCCTGGAATTATTTTCACTTTCTATTTTAAGTCAAAGTTTGTGACAGAATTTAACTACCTTTCTTTAAAAGGAGAAACTGTATACTAGGTAGTATTAATAGAGTTATTTTATCTCCTGACCAAAGTGAAAAACATTCAGTCATTAAAAACAATTAGCAACCCCCTCCCCTCCAAGAACCAACACTCCATCATTCAAAAGTAAAATAAATCACTGAATGTCAATAAAAACTACTGCAGTTACATTCTCAATTACATTGGGAATCCAAGAGACAAAGCTGCAGGCCACTTTCTCTGAACACACAAAGTTTCATTACCTCTTTCAACACCTTCATAATAACAGGGAGTAGGAAGGCTGCTGTTTTTCCGGAGCCCGTGTCTGCGCTAGCCAAAATATCCCTTCCTAATAGTCCAACAGGGATCATTTGCATTTGGATGGGAGTTGGGACTTCATAGCCAGAATTCTTTAAATTATGGTTTAAAGTTTCAGGAAAACCACAGTGTTCAAATTCTACAATAGGTCTTGGAACTTGCTGGCCCTGGACAGCAATACCCAGCTGCAGTTTAAGGTTCTCAACCTGCTCATCTCGTAAGCCTAATATAAAGGAATGATCTTTGTAGAAATAAGGTGTATTAAGTAGGTGAACTTCTGCTTGAGAGTCTGCTTTTGTGAGTTGATCAGATTTTAGCTTTTTTTCCTTTTCTTCAGACTGTAGAAGGTGTTTGGCTTTACACTCCAAGCTACAAACATCTTCATCTGTTTTATCGCAGATATATTCCCCATAGCGACCACACACAACACACACAGGTTCTCCAGGTTCTGGCCAGCGCTGGGATTTGCTGAAGGATTTTATGGGTTCTTCCGAAGAGCTATCTTCATCAGTATTTTGGTTGTCCTTTCCCAAAGTTGCATTAGCAACACCAAGATCTCCAGCTACAGGTTCTGTGTGTTCTTGTACAACTTCATTCAAATTGCATCCTGAAGCAGAAGTTTCTGTTCTAACTGGCTTACAGTCTTGGAACGTGGTGGTCTCCTCTAGCAAAGCTCCTCCAGAAGACAATTTATTTTTCTTAGCGGTAAAGCTTTTGTCGTCTTCAGCAGTCCTCTTGACTTTAACAGATCTTGGTAAAAACATGCTTCAGTACACTAGAAAGAAAATTATTACAGTTGTTAGAAACTACTGCCATTGAGAAAGGTATTTTTTACTGTTTACCACAAAAAAAAATAAATATATATTTGCAAAATATATTTGTGAACCTAGAAACCAACTTTCAATCCCTGAACAGATCTAGAAACTGCCTTGTTTAACAGTGATCTTGGTCTTAATGTTGACACATTATAAAGCTATACCTGAAAATAACAGTGGAAGCATGGAAAAATAGAGATCTACCTACAGTTAGTTTTAAGTATTAGACACTTGTAGATACACAAAAGCTTTGATTTTCACTATCTGTCGGGGAATTTCCCCATTTTGGGAGTCAGTGATATTTAAAACCTTAGAGAATATAGTTGTTTCTAAGATGAGATATAGAAGCAAAACATGCGTTGTTCTAAGCTATGAAAAAACATAATCATCCAAACATCCAAAGAAAATTATCCATTTTGAAAAGGGTGTGAAATTTAGCACAGGACCCACCCAAAACTACTCCTTTTGTTGTCCTTTTCAAAGTCTACTCCAATTTAAAAAGGCTGTAGATCTATTGAGTCCAGCTCCGTTTGCTCAAGGTGCCAAAGCAGCAGCAATGACCTACATGATCAATTTGACAAGTCTCTACTGTAATACAAGGAAGCCAAATTCAGTGACCTTAAATAACTGTAACTTTCATACTCTGAAACTTCCAGTTGACTCTGAAAGCGCCAGATGTTCTCACCAATTGCTTGCTCTGGTACAACGGGTAAACAAAGTACACACGCAATTTTATTCGGAATCAATCGGACTGTGCATACCAGTCTCTGTCAATTTCTCTTTACATCAGCTTTCTAGAAACACACAAAGCTATCTCTGGGTTTACAGATACCTATTTCCACCCCCCCCCCCGCATAACTCAAAGCAATTCGGAGCGGTTCTGCAGCGCCAG